CTGGTACTGTAATGTTCCTGTTGGTAAAAACACTTTAGGTACTTTAATGAGTCGGATTTCCAAAGAGTTGGAACTTTCACAAACATATACAAATCATTATATTAGGACGACAGCCGTCTCGTTACTTGACGAGTGTAATTTTGAAGCTCGTCATATTATGCGTGTTACTGGGCATAAATCTGAGAGCAGCATTCGCTCGTATTCCAGACGACTCTCAGAGGTAAAACAAAAACAAATTTCACACTCGCTCAGTAGTGCTTGCTTTAATAGTACGAATGCCAGTAGTTCTAGTGAAATTGTGTCAGTAAACGAAGCAGAAGAAATAGTTTGTACTGAGTCTGAAACTACAAATTGCCCACAGTCACCTGTATTGACTCAGAATTTTGCCTCTCACAGCCAAGAAACTGTCAATTTTCATTCTGGAGCTTTTGCCGGGGCAAATGTGACCATTATCTTTTACAAAAAGTGACATTTTATTGTAAATATATATCGTTTATACATGTACTAAGAGTTTTCATAGTTGGGTGAATGCGAACGCTTGTTTGTTACATTTTGAAGCCATATAGTGCATGATATGCATTGTAAAGCCTTTTCATGAAATAAAATTGTTGTGTAAAATATATTTTTGTTCCTATATAACAAAACACTTAATGTATGCTCCCTCGGAAATAGTGAATTTTGTTTTCCCTCGAATCTCAATGTTTCCCTCGACTTCGTCTCGGGAAACATTGAGATTCTCGGGAAAACAAATTCACTATTTCCCTCGAGAGCATACATTAAGTGTATATTATCTATCGATAGTTTTCGTTTTGATAAAATATCAACATTATCGCGATTCATGCCCTTTGAATGTCAAGTGAGATCGTATATTATCAAATTATGCGCATGCAATTGTAGGAACGAAAATATAGACTTGCCATACCTTTCGCCGATCATATAAACTTCGGCCTCTTCGGACGTATCCTTTTCGTTTATAAATATTCTTGTTCGAATCGCTATGAAAAACACTATTTTAGACTATTTTAGAGTGTTATTTTTGAGCTTGTATCTTTAAATTTGCTTCTTTTATTTATTTAATATGGTATTCCATTTCTGGTCTGACTTGTGAGCATACTTGTGAACTAATTTCAAAACGTCAAAACATTTGGTTAACGATTAACATTTAACCGATTTAACCGTTGATTGACAACCACATAAAAATACTAACCAATCAGTTTTATCCGTTCACTGGTGAAAGGGATAATTCAGTTACACCTGGTTTCGCGGCAGGCGGTTTTTCTCGCCTGCATTTTTCCCTTCCCGCGCCCAGCCTCCCTAATTTTCGTTGCCCGCGCCTCAACCCCAACCCTTAAAGGGGAACTCCAGTCCAAATACAAGTGTGGTTTATATGAAAGATCTTCCCCTTATTAGAATGTTCCTCAAGTATTTCGATCTAAATATTAATAGTAAAGGAGAAATTGCTTGTCAAACTTTGCGATTTTGTCAAATTTGGGCGCCATGTTGTTCTTTTCACTGCAGACTCAGATTTGTCCAGCGCCCTCATTTTTGACGTCATTGCGTGCTTCGAAGGTGTTGTTCGTATAGAAAACTATGGCTTTGTATGGCGATTTAATAAGAATATCGATTATTTCTCTGCTTCTAATTCTTTAATTAACGCGAGTTTAGACCGATATAACAGAGATATTTTACAGACAGAGATATTTTAATTACATTACCGAGCTTCTGACTGAGATGAATCAAGAGTTCCCAGCCAATGCCAGGTCATGGTTGCTGGCGTAGCTAATGTAGAAAATATACCGTATATGTTGCCCCTTGTGGATTTGGGCATCTGACTCTCGTTTGACTAGATACGTATTGTGCAAATTTGCGAAATGGATTTTCTTGTTCTGACTTGCTGAAAATATATCAATCGTAGTTAAAAACTTAAAATCGAATGGGCAAGGCTGATTAAACATCTAGCAATATACTGCAGTAGCGGAAAGTGAGCTTGTTGGTTACTACCTAGGTTCTGAGACTTCTGAAATAGTCTGTGACAGTGTTCTGAACCAAAAAATTCATAGGCATGTTGTATTTAAGATAGTTTATATAAAATAACAGTAAACTATAAACCTGTTAAACCATCGCAACATTTACTCATGAAGTGTTAGATAAACATTTCTTGTGGGTTCTTACTAGTAACTTGACACTGTCGTGTATAAATAAAACCCATATTGAACCCAACACTACAACGAATGTTTAAAACCCTGTGCTAGCCTGTCTGTTATAAAACAATTCTTTTGTAAGGATTGTCTTTTTTTTAAAAATCTCGCACTTTATTTTAAATCGCATCACCTGAACTTCAGGTTACAGCCAACAGACAAATATATTTCTATAAACAGCTTGTCATGCGACATTGATAGTAGCCCAGCATGTAGTCTGCCCTCAGAATTATCTAGGTAACATTATTTGCGGTATCGGGTATTTCACTGAAAGTCACAGATATAGTCGTGGCCATGGATTTATATTAATTTTAATCGAAGAGAGGTGAGAGAGTCGTCACTCGTATGAATACATGCATGGGTATCTTTTACTGCTAACATGTCTTTAATCATTTGTTTATGTTTGCGAATTCAATCACCCTGTCCTTGATTTAGGGCTTGAAGCAGACTGCTACAAGCAGTTCCAGTCGCTGAAAACATTTTGTTATTTATTGTGCAATTACTGTATTAAATAGACGTCTTACTTTTAGCGATTCTTTGACTTGCGAGTTTGCGTCAAGGCATTTGCATATATCAAATGAATTTAGACATCAATGATAATCTTATTGCTAATGCTCACATACATGAGCAAACAGAAGTCGCATAAACCGATAAATCGTTGGTGAACGCAAACGCAGCACCGATATTCATGCAAATTGAATCCGAGAGTCCAACAACAGCCAGATCCACACAGGGGGCAACAACCGCATTATTATTTAATTCTGCGCAAGCTTTCCGTACACCAGCATGAACATGACCTGGCGACTCTTGATTCACCTGAGCCAGAAGCTCGGTAATGTAAAATATCTTCTTCAGAAAAATACATCTTTTAAATCGGTCTAAACTCGCGTTAATTAAAGAATTAGAAGCAGAGAAATAATCGATATTCTTATTAAATCGCCATACACTGAGCCATAGTTTTCTATATGAACAACACCTTCGAAGCACGCAATGACGTCAAAAATGAGGGCGCTGGACAAATCCGAGTCTGCAGTGAAAAGAACAACATGGCGCCCAAATT